CTGGAAAGGTCTTACTTTTGTCTTATTGCCATTGCATGGTCATTGCCACAAAAGGTAGTACTTTCATTGCCATTGGAGGGACAGTGTTGTGTTGTTGTGACGACCTGGACTTTCCCAGAATCGAATCTTGCCAGGCCAGAAATAGATTTCCCGCAACATAGAAATTACTAACGTTTTGTTCTTTGTGTTGTTGCAGCGCCACCGGCCGGCATCGAGATCATCAACCACGAGGGCAGCAGCGTCAACAAGATCGAGATCGCGGAAAAGAAGGAGGTGGAATTGGAGTGCCGCGTGAAGGAGAGCAAGCCCGCCGCGACCATCGTGTGGTACCGGGACAACGTGGAGCTCAAGCTGAGTGAGTACACAAGCTCGGAAATAAGAGAGATGTCGGAAAAGTGACGCTCGATTTGTCTCTCCTTCGGTGATAGCAAAAAATGGTCGAGTGCGTCACTCACTTAAATGTGTGTGCTTGCAAGTACAGTATAGTACACTCTTCGCTGGGTGTACCGAGTGATTCAGAGAAGACGCAGGTGTAAGTGGGTTTGCCTGCCTAAATGGATGCGCCTTACAGGCAGAGCGAGTAGGCAAACTCGCCCGCACCTGCGACTTCCCTGAATCACCCGGTACTTAGCTCACTGTTTGCATTTGTGCAACATGGTAGCAAGTTGGCAGCAAACAGGAAAGTGAACGAGTGTTCATTCACTGCTATACCATGGAAGGAATATTTTGCGCGACGTACTATTTGGAGTGTCCCTGTGTGACATTATTCGTATATACTTCACTCTGGAGCGCTCTGGAGTGTGCGGCGCGCGTTGGAGGCGAGAAGGCAAAGGGAAGCGCGGTGAAGGAATAGGGCAAAGGGAGTTTGGGAGGGGGCGGGGAGGGGCGTGCAAAGTGGTCTCTTCGTGAACTCGCGCGCTGCGATTGTGCGTCGCGCCGACTTCAATAGAAGCCATTACTCATCGGAGACTTCCCCCTCCAACCCCCGTCCTCTTAACGTGCTCGCTGATTTAGTGATGCCCCCCCCCTCCTCAATCGGAGAGGCAGCAGCCAAGTCAGAATAGGGGGGGGGGGATCTGACGTTTGTTTTTTATTTATGTTTGCGGTCTTTTTTTATTCCTTTGGTCGCGACTCGCGGACACCCTGGCGGCGTTGAACCAGAACGAACGCCGCTAGTCGCACCTCCCCCTCCTTGCTCTTTTATTGATTTTCGTTTTGCCGTGTACTTAAAGCTGCTTAGAGCAGGGCAGCACACAGGCGAGTTATGATCGTCGGCTATTATTCAATCACTGTTTTTCGTCCGGCATTGATAACAGCTAGTTTTGCCATAAAAATGCCATTTGGCAATAATTATGCTCCTTTGTGGCAATATGGACTGCCCTGTGCATCTACATTGGCAAGCATTCGACCATTGCCAACCTAGTGGCAATGTCCACTCCGATACTTTATAGAAAATTTCCATCCATTGCCAAATTTTAGAAATAAACGTATAGCTTAAATTTGGCGAGGGTACTTTGCAAAATACATTTGGAAAATACTTCAACCTCCTCCTAGTCAAAAATTGGGAGTTAAAATTGCCTCTAGGTTGGTAGTGTTGCCGCTGGAGACATATTGAAAATATCTGAGAAAATATTTAGGAAGCCGTAAGCCGTCGCGTCATTGTAACCAAAGGACGCGTGTACTTTAATCGCCAAATGTAAAGCAGTGCATCCCAAACTATATTGTGACATTAAATTTATCGTGCGACCAACAAGGGGCGCCGGTCCGTTTCGTAAGCAGAAGGTTTCTGTCAGTCGTGCCCGCACCATCCACTGCGAGCTGTTGGAGCCCTTTAAGGTCTGTGCCCGTAAGCCCGCGCCCTCTCTTTGCCCCCCTTGCGGATTGGATTGGCTTTGGCCCGTCTTGTGGGATTCTCTCTCTTCCCTTTCGTCTCTCTCTCTCTCTCTCTCTCGCTCTCGCCGCCTCATCCTCCTGCCTCGGCGCATAAGGCAGAGATTCCTATTCATAATGGAAAAGGTGCAGGCCGAGCCGGTCGGGCTGGCCTCCTTTTCACCTGCGGCGACTGTTGCCGCCGCCGCCCCTGGCGCTGCTGCCCGGGGATGAGGATGAATAGGAGTATTGACGATCTACCGCCCCCAATGACCACGCCGCTCCTCAGCAGCTCATCGTCGTCCCCCAAGGGCCGGATAAGTAAGGGATTTGCCCACAGCAGAGAACACAAGTTTCTGTTAGTTTCACCGCTCCGTTTACGAAAAGGATTATCATCACAACTAATGGTGTGAGAGAGAGGGAGAGAGAGTGCGGGAAAGATAGTCGTGCCATAGCGTGACAGGGGTAACAACAAATGAGTCTCTTATCGTAAAAGAAAAAGAGAAGATAATTATAGTGCGTCCCCGCAACAAAACTCCAACAAAATCAACAAAAAATTAATTTTATACAATTTACAGTTGTTGCCAATCAAGTTTGTTCCATGGTAAAGGTAGACGTACAATTGATATTGATTTTGCCAACGTCAAGCACATTTTATCTTGATCCGAAAATCGGATCTGGGTGCTCTCGGACCCGAGCTACTTTCTCGCCCGGAACGGAGGCGGTGCTATAGTTTCAAACGCCCGACCCGTCTGCTGAGAGAGCGCACTCGCCTGCTCCGTCCCACCCTTTGAGGCATGGCATGGCCTCCTAGAAGCGCCCTCTTGGCTAGACTCGCTTCCTAGGAGGGCCGCGCTGCCGCCCAGCCCGTGTCCCGTGCCCGTGTGCGTGCGCAGGGCGTGAGGCTATTCATAACCGTCCCGCTCTCTCCCACGAGGGCCCTAGGTACAAGTTGGAGCAAGAAACCAAGCATGCCCGCGCCGGGCGCGCCGAGCAGCGGCAGGCAGGAGGGGTCCCAATGCACCCCGCCCCACCCCGCCCCGCCA